TTTTCTTCTCTTAGGCGGCATTTTAACCAATTTTAAAAAGGCAAACGTAATAAAAGTTATGTAGGTTTTTTGAGTGCAAAAATACGTGTAATCTGAACATAGGCAGGTTAGAGGGATCCCAAAAATGTATGTAACTGTATCAAAAGGGAATCGAAGACAAAAAAAGTGAAGTTTAAAAAATTCAGCTAAAGCTAAAACGGTAGTAGGTAATTTGGGAAGTAAATTCGATAAACGCGGAAACGGATGTAGTTATAACTAAGAAGTAAAAAGAACAAAATAACTGTTTGGATACGTAATCAGCAACTTGCCGTTTCAGTAAGAAGCAAATGAAGTGAGCCAAGTGCGGGACAGTAATCGCAGAAGTGTGAACACGCGAGCGAGTTATGTTATAAAGAGGCGATTGACCGGTTGACCTTGAGCGCACATACTAAGGTGACGTGCGTAAGAGAACTGATGGTTGGATGGGCCCAAGGTTAAACGCTTGCAACCGTGCCAATGAGGTCGCATCAACCTTGAACAGTTGACGCGATTGGTTAACCTCCATCTGGGTTAGTCAAAGCAGTGCACAGTGGCGGTTGACGTTTCAAAATAGTATCTGACGACCTTATTGTATCGGGTTTTTCATTGATAAATATCAAAGCTATGTAGTTCCTTATACCAAAATAATCATTGCTTTTTGATTTACGTCGTCACCGAGGTAGGGCAGTCTCTCAAAGACAGCCAACCAGAGAATGGGATTTTCAAGCTTCATTTTTCTTTGAAAATTCTTAGCAGCCAGGGAATATGAGGTAGTTTTATTGATCAAAAGTTGAAAATATACGCGTTTTTACACTTCTTACGAACAAAATTTGAAGCCATGTTAATTTCGTTTACTGATGGATGATGAAGGCATTTAAGTAGCACTAATTTAGATGAAAGCGTGCGAGAACATTTTTGAGCAGCGATGCGTAGTAGTAAAATTATAGCGAGTGGGTGCCTTTTGCTACAGGTAAACGGCATGAAAAGACATATCAGTCCCCCGGTGTCCCCTCGAATGAAAAAATGCAATCAAATTGAACAATTGCGGGGAGCCGATTCTGTCCACTTGGCTTAAAAGTAGTGGCGTGAAGTGGCATGAAGTGTGTTCGTGATTGCTCACTGAATTCAATCCTATGCTTTAGTAGGCTAAATGGGGTACAAACCCCTAAAAAGCAGCAGTTTCAACTTGTTTTTACTGATTTTTCTCATCATTTGACATGTAGCTCTGTAAATGCCTTAAAAATGGCCTTGACGTTTACTTTACTGTGCCAATGCAGAAAACAAGGAAAGTAATGCATGCCTGCTTTGAAACATTAAAAGATCCTTTTTCATGGAATGAGTGTTAAATCCTGAAATAAAAGTAGGCTACCTGAAACCTTTACCCCATTTGGGATGCTTGCTGCACGCCCGCGTGACACCCACCGTTCACACATGATCTCGCATGACCCCGGAGCATTAATGGGCCAATTAGCAGCAAGCATTACGCATCGCTCATGCTACGCGTGACTAATAACACTAATCCGATTGGCTTTTGGAGCGCATAGTTTGGCTGCAACAGAAATCCTTCACTGTGATAACTTTTGCATCTGAAACAAAAATATGGCCATTCTTGTCCTTTCTTATTCACATATAAGCAATTAAATCCGACTTTTTTCTAATTATGCTACCGCTATTAATTCTGACATGAAAAGTGCCCATATCTGCTTGTGTGCAGTGAATGCACATAATTGCACACGCGTGCGTCCGATCAAAAATGAAAAATCAATGATATTGATTTAAATATTGACTTAAATCAATTTTTGACGCCGTCAAAAACTCTGCAAGTCCATTAGCAGTAACTGTGTCAAATTTGGTTGAAATCGGTTGAAAAATATAGAAGATCCGATCAAACATATAAATGAACACACACACACACATACTTCCTTTTATATACATATAGATATATACTGTAGCATACCTACGGACGATAATGTGTATGTTCCCATTCACAAAAATACAGTAGTAAATACTGTATGTTGGTCTGCAGTTGGATATTCAGAGTGGAATTCACTTGACTCACTTCTAGCAGTTGACTACTCCTTCTATGCGCCGCTTGATAATTTTATATGTGCTGTTCTTATACTAAGTATTATTATTCATTACCAGCCTTTCCTTCAGTAACAATCCCTAGGTTACAAAACAAACACACACACACACACACACACACACACACACACACACACACACACACACACACACACACACACATATATATATATATATATATATATATATATATATATATATATATATATATATTGTACAGGTAATCGATCCGTTGGTTTATGTCTAGCCAACACCACTCCCAATTGTTTTACTGATAGGTGCAAGCTGTGTTTAGGAGAAAAAATCAGGATGATAAAATATAAAGATCAACGTACTCTATTAAATCATTGGAGAGAACTAATCACGAAATGTAGACATAGAAATAAATTCATACAGAACATTCGCACAGAACAGTTTTGAGGCAATTTTTTTATACAATATATATATATATATATATATATATATATATATATATATATAACAACACATGGAGTAACACCAGTAATCTACCAGCACCTGGAGATGCACAATTTAGTGCCGAAACACGAAAGCTATTGTGCAACGATTTTTAACATGTTTTTTGTAATATAAGGAAGATATATATATATATATATATATATATATATATATATATATATATATATATATATATATATATATATGTGTGTGTGTGTGTGTGTGTGTGTGTGAAAATATATAGAAAATAGGAAAGAACTCGTTAGGTAAGTAATCCAAAGTTCTTTAGTATTTTTGTTATTATTTTAAAAAATAGTGCTCCATACAAAAGTAGAGCAAAAAAATATAATATATATATATATATATATATATATATATATATATATATATATATATATATATATATATATATATATATATATATATATATATATATATATATATATATATATATATTATATTTGTGCATATGTGTAAGCTGATCACAGTTTATGCCACACAGAGAAATTATCGTCACCGTCGGTTTATCATCAGTCGTTGGCTGACGACAATTACTGGCTGTCAGTGGCCCTCAATACTTCTTCCTGTACAAGGGAATCTAATTACATTCTGCATCCCTTCAGTAAGTTAAAAAAAAAAACAACGTGAAATATGTAAAATGGATAATGTCTATTTTACAGTCTTTGTTGCTAATAAAACAAAAATTGTTATTGCCATTATTCAGGTACCTCGTCAAGCTTAATTTTCAGCGACACCTGCCATGATTATATGTGTAATTATTATCCGAGAGGATGCTAACCACATCATTCTGCACAACTTGTGACGGCCTATGTACCCATCAATTCTCTTTGCGAGGGAGGATGAATATGTAACATAATCACTAATGTACGTACTGAGCTGCCTTATCATGTCATTGCAATTATTCTGTTAACACTATTATTATTATTATTATTGTTGTTGTTATTACACTGGTTACGCCTCTCCTCCATAAAACAGAAAGAAAAAAGAAAAAAAACGGTTACATTTCTTTCCAGTAAATTTACAATGCTTAAATAGTATGCAAAATGGAAAACATTCTTTAGGCGAAAGATAATTCAGTGAAATTGTTTTTTTATTAATACGAATACATATTTCTCGTCTGAACACAAGAGAAATTGAAGTAATTAAACGAATATATGAAGTGAAGTTGTTTGATTTTACGACATGTCAAACATTGTTGACAAGAATTTTGTATGGAGCACCCTGTAAGGATCAAACACACTACTGATGATGAAGCAGGCTAGCCTCACTAAACAGTCTACCGAACTAAGCCACTGATTACATAGGGTAAATATTTCGTTACATCACAGTTCCGTAAACCATTAGAGTTGTTGGGCCACCATATGTACTGAAGCGTTATCAGGAGTGATAGGTCTAAGGTCAGGTAGCCTGACGAAGTTCATCCTTTGTTTACTTCTGAATTCGGACTTTTACGTCTAGACTTGATTCCAGTTCAAGGCTAGGGAACCCAGTCTACTCTGCTACTAATTGGGGAGGCGGATGAGAAATGATAGTATGCATATTTCCCCAAGGGTATTAGTACGAAAGTGAACGAAATAAACGAACTCGATCGGAAACTGAACTCTTCCATAATAGTTCATTATTAAACCACCTGCGCATCCATATATTTGTAATTGTTACAGTAAAATATAAGAGAGATGAACAAATTTTTACATTTAAAAAAAATACTTGCTTTAGTTTCAATAACTATGCATACCAAATTTCGTATACGTGTATTGCGAAAGTACAAACACTTGTCAAGTTTTATATACAGACTAACACATGTAAAACCAGAGAACGAAAATAGAATATAATTAACAACGCATGTTATTGGATAGTTATTAAAGAAAACCAAAAGTCCCATTGGGAAGATATCTTCAGATCTGATGAAATGTCAGGTTTTGTTTGAAGACTCTGCTGCTAAGATTGCAATAAAGAAATATCACAGGACGCCCCAAGGTATGAACGCTCTCTAGCAACGGACGAGCAACGTTTTCTGATGCAATAAACAATAGAGTTGTCTGATCTTGGTTCCAAGTATTACAACAAGAAAAAGGCCCGGTGTTTGAAGATGTCGCATGAGTGTTGTTTCCGTGGTCAGTGCGCTTGCAAGAAATATTTGGAATTTATCAGTGCGTTTATTGGAATGAAAACGAATTGCATTTCTTCTCCGTATATTTTACCTAGTTTCTCTATCTCACTCTCTATTTATCTGTGCCTCTGACTTTGTTTCAGTGTCTGTTTCTGTCTCTCTGACAGACTCTCCCCCATCTCTCTCTCTCTCTCTCTCTCTCTCTCTATATATATATATATATATATATATATATATATATATCATCAGTATATTCATCTTTGTTCGCATTAATGTAGGATATTTTCGTAGTATAATCCAGTGAGTACATATGTTTTACTTTACATCAGTCTTTTTATATTCATCTCTTTATGCTTATCTATCTATCTATCTATCTATCTATCTATCTATCTATCTATCTATCTATCTATCTATCTTACTTGGTAAAAAAAACAAACAATTCTTCCATGTAAGCAGTTCCCGTCTTTCTTTCTTTTCTTTCTTTTTATTCTGTGAGTTTACACGAAAAAAGAAATTTCAGAAGGGTTTTGTCTTTGTGTGTGAGTGTGGGTGTGTGTATGTACTTGTGACGGCGTATGTACCCACCAATTCTCTTTGCGAGGGAGGATGAATATATGACATAATCACCAATTGCATTTCTATCTATCTATCTATCTATCTATCTATCTATCTATCTATCTATCTCACGTGTGTGTGTGTGTGTGTGTGTGTGTATGTGTGTGTGTGTGTGTGTGCGTGTGTTTGTATATATATATATATATATATCTGTGTTTGTATGTACTCAGAATATATTTATGAATATGATTATCGAAAGTTGTATATATAGATATACATAAAATAAATAGTGCATCATTTCATATTATATATATATATATATATATATATATATATATATATATATATATATATATATATATATTCATAAATATATTTATATATATATATATATATAAACAGTGATACACTATTGATTTTCTCTCTCTCTTTCTATATATATATACATATATATATCTTTTCTCTCTCTGTATATATATATATATATATATATATATATATATATATATATATATATATATATATATAGTATGTGTGTTTGAAGAAAACTGGAGTACTGAAGGTTGTATGTGCATTGAAGCAAAAATAGGCAGATTGTGACGCCGATGACATCTGAAGTAATATAGGACATTTCCATAAGAAAATGTTGAAAATTCAAATAAATATCCCTCCAACACACACACACACACACACACACACACACACACACACACATATATATATATATATATATATATATATATATATAAAAAGAAAAGAGAAGAAACTGGAAAAAAAGAAAACTTACAACGAAAAGCGAATAGATGAATATAAGTAACTTTTATAATAAGAACTATGAAAAGAATACGTGGTTGAAGACAAAATACCGAGTGATTGACAAGTGACTCCCTATTTTATGCATGATAGACTCTTTCGTCTAACTATAATTTTTACAAAACGGGGGAATCCATCATATAATAAAATAAAAAGTTACTTTTCAATCACCTTGTAGTTCCACAAAGCCAGACACCTTTATGAATGGTGAGAAAATAGGGCGATGAAAATGCACCGATAGATAAATACGAAAGGGACACTAAAAAGTGTGCAATCCACTATAATAAAATTGTTCATATGTCAACATTATTATTAGACGACGCCAAGATTTATGCTTTAAGAAAACAGCTGGAAATTTTGGTCGGAACCATTTCGACTGGGGCAGTTGTGGCTTTAATATTGGTACATATTTTGCAACGCAATGCATTAATCTAAGTTATATATATATATATATATATATATATATATATACAGGAGTCCAGCCTGTATGAGTCCTGCCTGTATGAGTCCTGCCTGTTCTCCCTCCACACCCCTCTTTCCCTATTTGTTTTCTATTCTCTCTTATCTCTTTTTCTTCACTTTCTTTGTCGAAAATCATTTTTTTTCCTGTGAAAAGACTGGATAAATAAGTCAAAATGTCTGGTCTCTAATCCCACCACCTTTCCCATATGGATCTTAATAAAGATAGATATAAACATCTTCCTATCTCTCCTTTCCCTGTCTAATTTCGATCACATATCTATCGTCTTCCGGCTTCTATTTTTATCACCTTATACCAACGTAAAACTACCTCACCAAGAACATGTTTTTTAAACCTGGAAAAATTAGTCAGCAATATTTTTTAATGAAAATAGCGATCTGATGAATTAGGACCAGCATCGCCATCCTAAGGAAATAAATCATAACCCCATTGTCCCTTAAATTTGCCTGTTTCTTTATATAATTAATTAATTTATATATATATATATATATATATATATATATATATATATATATATATATATATATATATTATATTCCTTTATATAAATAGGTTCGATACGACTGCTAATTTCATACGTGTTGTAGCACGCAATCCTCAGGGAGCCGACGTATGCGCAACATTTCGCTGATGAAACTAGCAGGAAAAGCCAACCAGAAAAAAAAAAAAAAACACTGTATAAAAGAAATAATATTTAGGCGCTGTCATTAGACGTAAAGCACTAGTCGGTTTTTCGCACCATAGTGGGTGAAGTATTTAACATTATATATATATATATATATATATATATATATATATATATATATATATATATATATATAGTTAGGTAGTAGATATAGTTCGATAGAAAGAGAAACCTCACCTGATCATTAACTGTGTGCCTTATTTTGCTTCTTTATTTCTACCTTACGTTTTTCTTTCTTTTTCAGTCAATTCATATTTATCTATTCGAGTGTATCCTATCCTATCTATCTATCTATCTATCTATCTATCTATCTATCCCAGTCAGTTCATCTATCTATCTATCTATCTATCTATCTATCCCAGTCAGTTCATCTCAGTCTGCACATATCTATCTATCTATCTATCTATCCCAGTCAGTTCATCTCAGTCTGCACATATCTATCTATCTATCTATCTATCTATCTATCTATCTATCTATCTCATCTCTCATCTATCATCTATCTATCTATCTATCTATCTATCTATCTATCTATCTATCTATCATGTTCTCTTTATTATCTATTTATTCTCTACACTATCTATCTATCTATCTATCTATCTATCTATCTATCTATCTATCTATCTAACCATCCCAGTCAGTTCATCTCAGTCTGCACATATCTATCTATCTATCTATCTATCTATCTATCTATCTATCTATCTATCTATCTGCAAGAGTATATTTTTTCATCCACCTCTTTCTCTTTGTTGTACACTTTTGTCTGTATTAATTAATACATTGTGAACACACTCTCGGGTTTGCATATACATATATATGAAAGACAAAAACCCATTCACACTAACATGCAGATGAAGAGAAAATAGAAAAGAGATCGAAATCTTCATTACTCTCCCTTGATTCAATACGCAACTCATTCTTAAGTATTGGTTGTCAGGGAACATTGAATTGAAATACATAAGAAGCTCAGTTGTTGAGAAGCATCGTCGTTTCTTTCGTCTCCTTTACAACTTTCTATCAAGTACTTCTTTGACAATCGCTTTCATAAGTGATATGTTCCGCACGATTCGCCTCGGGACAGCAAACACCAATACCAAACTCTGTTTTATTATAGAAAACATCGTTTATTGTTTGCCCCTTTTCACTCCTTTTACTGGAGGCAAGAATGGATTCTTCTTTTTTTTTCCGTTCAATACTGTTTAGTATACTGCGGCACAATTGGCTTTGTGGTTAGTTCTTTGAACTGGAGAACAGGAGACTATTCAGTTCAAGATATCTTTCTTTTCACAGAACAAAAGCATACTGAGTTGTGAATCATATCAAAGCGATGAAAATAGATAACAGAGATCAGAAGAGTGTGTAAATTATAAAAACGGAGATTTGAAGATGAGCAACCGACAAATATAAAGTTTGATATAAAATGGCGGATTGGTTAGGCATTTTTCGTGTTAATTATTAACTATTTTTTTTCTCATAATTCTTTTTTCTTTTTATCACAACGCCCAGGAAGGAGAGCGAATCGCAAATATATAATAAGACTCATGATTCTATATTCCTGATCCGTGCTCCTTAAAGAATATAAAATAGCGATCTAGAATTGGGATTCAAAAATTTATAAATTACAATTCTTTCATCTTGAAAAGTTTTGAACAGAGTTAGGTTTCATTTCTTTGAAGACTTCATAGATTGAATACAACAGCAAAGAATTCATTAATATATTGGGATTTATTGGGGAATTCTGCGAAAGATGAAATTATGTATGACCTTTTGGACTGCAAAGAGCACAGAAATAATTACCGCACTTTTATTTAGAAAAATATTTTAAAGCTGATGTCATAATAAACCTGTATGAGGCAATAATGATACTTATTTTTGATAAACTGAAATTTTACTACCTGTCTATATTTCTGAGATGAGGTATTATATACACTATTTACATTATTCGGACTATTGTCTTCGTCTTTGTTGCCTTATTTATGACGACATTTCGGCTGTTGTTCGCTCCGGGCTTCTTCAGGTGGTTGGAATAACCTTAAGGACAAATGGCACAGTAGATAAAGTTGTTGGTTAGATCCAGTGACAGGACCCAAAGAGTTGTGAGTTCAATACCTGGTTGATAACTGACTAACATTAGACATGACACGTGGAATTAGAGCAGTCTACAACAGCGAGCGAAACAAAGGGTTCAGTTCGAAATTCCAACCACCTGAAGAAGACAGGAGCGTACAACGACCGAAACGCTGTGATAAATATGTCAACAAAGATGAGGACAATAGTTGGAATATTGTCAATAGTGTAAAATTTTACTCCTTAAAGTGGCAAAGTTATTATTTAATAGTGATCACGTATATCGGACAATATAATAAAAAAATACCAAAAATTTATCGTTTAATTCATGTTAGGCTACGAATTTCTTGATTCAGATTTTTTCTTTCTTTATATCTATCTATGTTTGTTTGTTTAGCGGCATATCAACGCCTAATGCCGAAATTTTAATTTTCTTGAGAAAATTAATTATTTTATTTACAAAAATGTATTGCTAGTAATTTTATTTTATGTATTTCTGGTATTTTTACTATAAAAATGTGGTTTTATACTTTCATATTGCCAATAAGTGAGCTCCCACGCTGGGTTAGGAGTGGACCTGGGAACAGAAGCAAAACCTCCGATCAAAAGCCTTGCTTCCGGAAGTATTTTATCGTCATACTCATGACGGATCTATCTGTTCACAATATCTATCTCTAAATTTATTATTGTTATAAGGGAGGAGTGCTTAATAGCAGAGACTGAATGGTTCTCGATACAGACAGTGATCACAGCGATCAACACTGCATGGTATTTGTCAGTTTTAGCCGATATTTAATCTTCCGACCAATGCTAATACTACTTTAGTGGGCGCTATGCATATGTTACTGTGTAATTAAGGGAAGTTCTGGAAGGATGAAAGTGGCTTTTCTTAGTTCTTTTTTGTACTGTTATTTATGGTCATAATCTTCGGAGTGCCTATTTATTTATTTATTTACTTATCTCATCTGTTTATTTGTTTTCTGTATTTTTCTTTGGCATATTTTCTTTAAAATGTTTTGGTCCAACGTTTTGGTAAAAAAAAAAAAAAAAAAAAAATAGACGAAAGAAAAAATTCACAATTGTTGGTATCATAGGGTGGGGTATTATAGATTACAAACCTTCGCCCGCTTTTTATTTTGTGTGGAAAGAACGTCGAACAGGACCAAGTACCCAGAGAATGTTGTTCAGCTCCATCAGCTACCATTCCTCCAACAAAAAGGTGATGTGCCGTAGCAGCAGTATTTTAACCAATCAGCCGAGTAGCTCAACATATTCTGAACGATATTCAATGACTTATAACCCAATTCCAGTATACCAAAGAATTATTAAATTATAAAATAATATGTGTAAAATCAAAATTTAAAAAATTGTATCTGGAATTGTTTGTTATAAAATATCAGGTCATCCCATAAGTTCTGTCCGAATTTTGAATAAAGAAAACAAGTGACCAAATGTTACATTTAATTACAGATTCAATCATCAATGTATTTTCCCTGATTATCTATGACTTCCTTCCATCTATTAACAAGCTTACTAATTCCATTACTGTAAAATTCTTTTGTCTTTGATTCGAAGAAGTCACAAATGTCAGTTTTAACTTCTTCCTGTGTTACAAGAGCTATTTCTTCCAAATGATTCTGTAAGCTACGAAACAAATGGTAGTCTGAAGGAGTAAGATCGGGAGAATAAGGTAGATGAAGAATTTTCTCCCAACCAATCTTTTGTCACGTGATTCTTGCTAAGTGGGGTCGCGCATTGTCCTGATGAAACATCACCACTTTTCGATTCACTAGAGCAGGTCTTATTTGCCTCAAAGCTTGGTTCAAACGCTCTAATTGCTGACAGTATATTTGAGCATTAATTGTTGCATTAGGTGGTAAGAATTCAAAGTGGATTATTCCTTGGCGATCCCACCAGATTGAAAGAAGAACCTTTTGCCCATGAAGTTCCCTTCTCGTCTAAGGCTGTGGTCCTTCCCGTTTACCAAGTCACTCTCTACGACGCTTAACATTTCGATAAAAGATCCATTTTTCGTCATCAGTCACAAGTCTATTCAACAAAGGTGAAACAATTTGGCGAGAATGGAGAGAAGAGCAGATGTCAACTCGGGATTTGAGGTAGTTTTCAGACAATTCATGAGGCACCCATTTTTCAAGTTTAGGAACTTTTCCAAGTTGTTGAAGATGACGATGAACAGTTGTATGGTTTGATCTGAGAACCACTGCCAATTCCTCAACTGATAAAGCAGGATTTTCTTCAAGGGCTGCTTCAAGAAGCTTTTTACCAAACACAACTGGAAGTCCGGTTCGATCTTCATCTTCAAGGGTGAAATCTCCACCTCTGAATTTTGCAAACCATCTTCTGCATGTTCTTTCATTCACACATTCCTCTCCATAAACTGAGTGAATGTTTCTAGCCGCTTCGGCTGCTGAGTTTCCTTTCTTGAACTCATAAAGCATTATGTGCCTCAAATGATTCTTGGGTACTTCCATGTTAGCACGGTTTTAATATAAAAAAAAATTAATTTTATTGTTCTCTGAAATAAACTTTGATCAGTTTAAATGCATCTAAACATAAAAATAATGTTCAACTCCATTAGACATTATAAAATACTCTTTAAATTTCGTTCATTTTAACAAAAAGTTAACATTCGGACAGAACTTATGGGATGACCTGATAGATGTATTTATTGAATTAAGTATTTCATTTATAGGGAAACACTAACTCAAAAATTCTCGATAAGTTTTCGTAACGTAATGTTTGTAAATTCAGATAAATAACTGGAAATTAAATCTGAAAATAATTTACATTTTATTTATGAAATAATTAAATTTGGAAATACTTTTTATATTATTTATGAAATAATTAAATTTGGAAATAATTTATATTTTATTTTTATATATTTATTATGAAATAATTAAATCTAGAAATAATTTATATTTTATGTTTCATGTATTTATTTATGACATAATTATAATAATTCAGATTTAATTATTTCAAAATAGATGCATAAAACACAAAATATAAATATGTTTTATATATTTATGAAATAATAAAATCTGGAAATAATTTATATTTTATGTTTCATATATTTATGAAATAATTAAATCTGGAAATAATTTATATTTTATGTTTCATATATTTATGAAATAATTAAATCTGGAAATAATTTATATTTGATTTATTTAATATTATTAACTCTGCAGCAAGTAGCCAAAAAATGGACAAATAAACGATAATCAGAAGATTAAACAAGGGGCACCAACAATATGCAGAAGTTAGGAATGATCAAAACATTGAATTTAAAAAAAAAGCGTTTTAGACGTAGGAAGATATCTATTGTGCATAAGAACAGTTCCCATCGACCAATATAATCAAAAGATATGTTTTAATATATTTATTGTAGACGTCTAAAGTATTGGCATTGACTCCAGAAAGAGAGAGAATGTTCCACAAATTCTCTGAGAAAAATCATAATTGCGTATATTCAAACCATAGGACAGCGTTTGAATTTTTAAATGTATGCCCCCTGGTAGATTTATATTGGATTTTAGTAAAATAATATTGATACCTGTCATCTTTTATTTTAATAATTTCACTGCAAGCAAGGCCCAAATTTCACTAAACTGCAAGGAATTTCTGCGAGTGGAAATGAATAAGAAACTTTATTGAGGTGAAAGGACAATAAAAGAAAATGTTTCAGGAAGACAGAAGATAACGATTGACGTTGCATTTAATTTTTTTGAAGAGTGTAGGTGACAGGATGTAAGAAACCGGAAGTAACATCTCAATTGAATTTACTATTTTATATACCTGTATTAAATGGTGTCTAAGTCGTTCGGTTTTAAGTGACGAAAGGTCAAGATTTTATGTCTATCTCAAGATAATTCCCATAGTTCCCGGATTACGGAAATGAGCTAAACTTTCACTTTGTTTACTGACTTTCTTGCTTTCTTTCTTGATGATGAATTATTAATTTTTAGCTCCAGTTTTATAGAGAAAAGTAAAACAAAACAAAAAAAAAATCCCCCCCCCAAAATGAAAAGTATAAGGGAAGAATACATACATGAGTTTATCATTTCACTTTATTTGATCAAAGAATGATAAATATCTGTTTACATCTTAGTTGACGGAAA